TTTTTCAACTCAGTTTCTGCAACTAGTTGTCTGTCCCTCACTCCCTCAACTATGCTAGCAAATACACAGCATGATCACAGCAGTCTTTACGCTGATGCTTTATGTAAAACAGATGCATGTAGTAAATTCCCTAGAACCTGGACAGCTCAGAGAATAATCCTATTTATTTGTTTGTTTTCTATTAGGATAAGAACGGTGGCAAAGAAGGTGATAGTAGTCAGTCTCAGAAACACAAACCCTGGAAAAACAAATGGCGCTTTAATGTGCATCAGTTCTTACATGCTGATGTTTACTTACTTCGTTGAAGTGAACATCTTGCATCCCGACATCCTCCATCATTGAAGCTTCTTCATCTATATTAGGTGTGATTACTCTGAAGGCAATACAGCCTTGCCTAAACATCCCTATCATTGAAAAAGAAAACCAGACACATTCACTTAAACGCTGGCAAAATACCTTCCTCTTGCAGAGTAACATTAGGCCATTTTGTGATGCTGGATAAGTCAGAAGCTGTATTTAAATACACTTACTACCAAAACAATAGAAGAAAACACAGCTTCTCACTGTACGATTAAAAGAGCAGAGCTCATCTTAAGTAGAAATCGTTTTTTTAGACAAGCACGTTGACGTTTGCATTCTGACCTACAAAAACATGTAGCGTATGAATCTTCCTATTTTAGCTAAAAATTGTGTCCAATCTCTCCCACCCCAAAGCCTACGGTAACTAAGTTCACTTTTACAGTATTTCATAACACTGATCACGCAAGAACTGTACAAGAACAAGCCCTGGCATATCCAAGCCTCCAGTCTGAACACTATGCATAGACTGATGTGAACTACACAAGATAGTCAGAGGATGGCTGCACAGATTAGTTAGGGGTAGATACAGAAAGTCGGCCTAGAAATAAGAAAAAAAATATATCAATCTAACTCCCTTTACAAAATATATATTCGCCAAGAATTGGTTTTAGAATATTCTAAAGTGAAACCTACCTCTTTTTACCCATCCTGTGTAAGTATTTTTTATTCTATCAGATTGCTGAATTAAGCAGTCAGGCTACGTGGCCAAAATCTGTCTTGTAAAAGCCTCAAGAGCAATCAGTGACAAGTACAGAAGCACAAGGACTTGTACATATTTACTTCACCACTCATTCCTAGAAGGATTCTTTCTCCTCACTCATGGCAGTTGTACAACCAGCGGCTTCACTGAATGACTGCCTCAAAGGCACGTTTATGTCTGGCTCCTGGAAATGCCATAGGTAGGACTGACTCCAAATTACTAACAGGAAGTAATTTCCATGTGACAGGAGACAAGAATAGTAAGTCACCCAAAGAACCCAAAGCAAGTATATAAAGATTATCACTTGTTATTGGGTTTTGTTAGACTTGCACTACTTGGAACTGTAACTTAAGACAACAGAGTTTCAGATTTGGTCACTGAGGAGCTTCTCAAATCAGTGGAGAAGGGGGAATAGCCTATATGTGAATAAGCATTCTGTAAGAGGCAAAAAAATAATGAGAGACCTGAGAAATTACTTAACAAATAAGAATATTCATTGATAAAGTTGCTTAGAAAGGGTCTAACCAGGTATGAGCAACTGTTGCATTAAATTAAAAGCTTTTCCCTTCCTAAAAGTTCTGTTTTAGCTTCAGCTAAAATGCTGGTTCTTAAACATGTAAATATGCTGCTGTAAGCTTGCTATTCACTTAAGTCAGAATTTTTTGCCTACAGCTTCCTCAGGGAAACCACTGCTATTCCTACACATAATGAAAAAAAACAACCAACCCACATTTAAGTAGGACTTCAAAATCATACCTTTCCGTGTGAGATATTCTGCAACCAGTGCTGCTACATGAACATAGCACATTGCTGCCTAAAAGCAAGAACAGGAACACTTTTGTAAATTACAGTCATCATGCAAAACTGAAAACTAAGTATATATGAAGAGCTCTAGACTGGAATAATTTCTTAGGTTTTCCTTGTTTGCTGCTTTGAAGATGATGACTTGTGTAAGAATTGTCCTCCTCACTTACACAGAGCAGTTACTGTGCAAGAGCCTCCCTTATCACCAGAGCACTGAGCAGCACTCAGTTGGAGACTGCCCAGTGTTCACAAGCTAATGACTTCCATGCTGTAATAACACCAGGTAAATTTCTTTCAGGGATGTATCGGAAGGAATTTGCTTGGTACGATCTAGAAAACTAAATAAAAGGGCCAGAGTTGTCTACAAACATGAGATGTTTTTATTAAATTGGCACTGATCACTTTTCTTCGAGGAAAGGACAAAAAAGATTCAAGATTCAGCAAAATGTTTACCTATGGAAGCTGAAGAATCTCCGGCTCTGGAGCTGAAGAAAAAATGTAAGTAACTGCCAGAGATTCTCTCTAATTCATGCTTCACGTGGCACTGGACTTGATGATGTACAGGGGTTTTTCTCTAGCTGTTCAGTCAAATATTCCATACTTTCAATAAAAATCAGTCATTTCCTCAGGTCTGTTTTTAAAAAAACTGGACTGAAAGAGCTGGACCTGCTTCCATCAAAACGTAAACTACTGACAGAGGACTGTATATGTCTTCTGCATAGCTACTAGGCAGAATAAAAGAATTACAGCAATGAGATGTAAGGCAGCAGCAATGATTTCTCAGAGGTACTTACTTGCTTACATGGTAAGTGAAATAGATATGTTTATGAAATCTGGTGATATGATACAACATGATTTGTTCTCAGATGGAACAAACTTCCAGAAAGAAGCAACATCAATTCTGTATGCTGATATAATGGCTATACATCAAGGCATACAGTACAAAAAAGACAGGGATCTCTTGGAAAGAGTCCAGCGGAGGGCCACAAAGATGGTGAAGGGCCTGGAGCATCTCTCCTGTGAAGAAAGGCTGAGTGAACTGGGTCTGTTCAGCCTTGAGAAAAGTAGACTGAGAAGGGACCTGATCCAGGTCTACAAATATCTAAGGTGTGGGGGGCAGAATGGCGAGGCCGGACTCTTTTCAGTGGTGAGTGGAGACAGGACAAGGGGAAACGGCTGGAAACTGCAGCATAGGAAGTTCTGCACAAATGTGCGCAAGAACTTCTTTACAGTGAGGTGACGGAGCACTGGAACAGGCTGCCCAGGGAGGTGGTGGAGTCTCCTTCTCTGGAGATGTTCAAGACCTGCCTGGATGCCTACCTGTGCGACCTGCTGTAGGGAACCTGCTTTGGCAGGGGGGTTGGACTCGATGATCTCTGGAGGTCCCTTCCAACCCCTACAATTCTGTGATTCTGTGATTCTGTGAAGGCATACAAGAATCCCAACTCTCTTTTCTCCCTTTTGCTAGAATTAAATATTTAAACAGCACAGAGAAATCAGTCTGCTGTCTGTTTTCAAGCAACAAAACTGCTGTTCAGCAATTTTAAGAGTATCAGGAGTTTTTCTGGTAAGCCTTCTGTTATTTAAGTTATTAAGTTATTAATAAATTTATTGATATAAATTCATTAAGTCTGATCTTTCTCTCACCTCTGAAAGATCCCCATTTTTAACATGGATCCTTGCCATGCTGTCCAACCACGTCTTCCTTAGCTCAGGCGTACTCGCGTAAGACTTTGCCAAACTGTACTGGAGGTCTACAAGCATTTCGGGATCGTTCTCATGCTCCTTCATCTGAGCTGTAGCCATCAGTACTGTACGAATACGTTTTGTTAAATCCTTTACATCAGAAGGGAACGTAGTGTGCTAAAACACAGAAAAGTTGGTTTAACTACTACCTTTATCGACTGCTCGCGTAACAGAAGAAGTTAAAATGTCATTGCAAAAGGCGCTGTGGAAAAGTTTTCAAGCCGCCTTTCTACGGTATAGAAAGAAGAATAAAGCCAGACCTTAATAATTTTGTCGTGATTGGCACAATTATTGATGATGGACAGGGACTGCTGAAATCTAGTTCCTCCAATTCCAACAACATCAGCAATTAACTGGCTTACTGAAATAATAACCTTGACAGAAACAAATGTCTAGTTAGTGCGTGCATACTTGGTGAAATGCACCTATGATGCAACTACAAAGAAAGTTTTGCTCTTTTAAATAGAAAGATTATACCTTGAAGTCAAATGCTATTTGACAGACTCTCCCCT